CACCCTCCAGACCTTCCGCACAGCCCTTAAAACCTGGCTGTTCCGACAGGCCTGGGGCTAAAGACTGTAACCCACCTGAATGGTATGAATGTTGTGCTTTTAACTATGTATTGTTTTTAAGTGTTAAATGTTTGTTTCCCCCCCTTTTTCGAGTTGTAAGCCGCCCTGAGTCCCCCCAGGGAAAAGGGCGGCATATAAATAAATTACTCTAAACTCTCTAAGCTCTAAATGCTAAATAAATGTGTTACCTAGAGATAAAACCTGGGCTCTTCCTCTTTTTTTGTGCTGAGCCGCACCTGATTCCCCTGCCTAACAAGGGGCCCAGACTGGTCCTCCCCCAACAAGGTGGCTCAGGGGTCAGGTTTAGGCTGGTGGGCCACGGACCCTGCCAGGTACTCCGAGAGGACAGACGTTGCACTTCGCAGATGGTTTATTGCGCTTGTGGTGGAGGCAAGAGAGGACGGGGGCAGAGAGGCAGGTTGGTCACCAGATGAAGAGGGGCTTCCCGTCGGCCTGGGACAGCTGTCGGAGGCAGTTGAGCAGGATCAGGCAGTCGGCCACCTTGTCCTGGGGCACCACGCTGACAATCACCTCGTTCAGGTAGGTGAGGTCATTGTACAGCTGAGCTTCGGAGCCTGTGGCGTCGGGGCGTTCGCGGAGGATGCCGTAGGTGTTCACAATGTGCTCGGTGAACTGGGGGTGGTAGGAGGGGTTGTAGTTATGTGGCTTCAGGCGGTTCATGATTTCATTGTAGCGATCCATCATGGCCGTCCGCTGTTCTGCGGTCAGGGGGTTGACGGTGTCATTTTCAGCCTGCGGGAAAAAGAGATACATCTTCAGTCTCTTCCTTCTTCTCTTCCCCATCTTTGGGGTGCTCAAGATCGACAGAGCCCACTCTGCTCCTTGGGAGCAGGCAGGGGGAACCGACACTCGTGCCGGTGGCAGTAACCTCACAGCCACTGAAATCCTGAAATTGTCTGGCACTAAGATGCTGCTGATCGAAGGAGATCCCAAGCTTCCCTGCAGGGCCAGATGTCCTGGCAGTCCCGCATTCTTACGGTGGGATCTCCAGGAGGGGCATCAGCTCTACTGCCAGTTTTTGATGCTCCTTGCCAGTTTCCTGTTTCTGTCCCTCACCCCAACTGACCCCTGGCTGATCTGGATGACATGTTAACAGCCCAAACCTTTGTCCTCCCGATAATCCTGTAAAGCCCATGTAGGCCTTGGAGTGGTGTGAGTTTGATGCTGACTGCTAAGTGAGATTTCAGGCCCTCCTCATGAGATCAGGACATCTGCTGTGGCCCCACGGAAGCTGGAAGGATGGCTCACCTGCATTATTTTCTCAGGGATGTTGCCAACGGTGAAGCCGTAGAGGCGGACCCGGTCGGGGAAGATGCTGGAGAGGATCCGTCGGTCAAGCTGGAAGGCGATCTCCCCCACAATACGTTCAAAGGTTGCAGTCTTGGAATCTGAGGAGACCAGAATCCCTGGTCAGCCTGAGAGGCCTCCAGCTGCCCTCCTCGCCTTCTTCCTGGCCTGGCCAAAGGGCCCACTGGGGATGGGTTGGATTTCTTGACCTGAGTTTAGGGCCAGCTGAGTCCAGATTGACCTTGGGTGGTTCACAATACGTCAGATTTAAAATGCCCCATGCAGGAATCAGTGGGCAAATTGGGGGGGCGTACCCCACATCATCCAGGAAACCCTTCCAGAGGGTCCTTCACAGAGGGGTCAAGTTGGACTCTAACGACCAAAGAGTAGTCTCCACTTATGACCGTAAAGGAGCTTGGAACTTCTGTGGTAAACCTTGATGGCCATAAGCTGAGATACCCACATAACTGATCCAACTTTATGACCTTTTGGGGGGCAGACATAAAGCGAACACAGAAATCGTAGAGTCCATTCATTCCTATGAGCTTTTTGCTAGAAACCATCATAAATCACGGTTACATGAGCACGGAACACTGCAGTCGGCCGTAAAAGGGAGTCCGTTGCCTGCACACAAAATGTCATGGGGGAGTTGCTGCTAGCAGAGCTCTAGAACCCGGTGGAAGTAACTTTGTGGGGGGGGGGGGTGTCCATTGTAACTGAGTTGTCGCTAAGCAACCAGTTGTTAAGTCAGGACTCCCTGTGCTTGCTCTCTGCGTATCCTCCTACCGCCCCTGGGGATGGACTCAAGGGGCAGCGTGGGAGTTTGTGGCCACCAATGCAGCCGTGGCTGCTCCATTCACCACAGAGGCCACGCGTCAGGCATCAGGGTGCTGGCAGCATGATCTGGAGCCGGCCGGGCTCCCTTGCCACAGGCAGATGGTTTCCTGCTGGCTCTGGAGTTCTCTGGGGTCAGCCCTCCCCCGCATGGTGCCCTTGAGGGCCAGGTAGAATGGGCTTTGTAATATGGGTTTTGTAGTAGTTGCAAGGCTAACTAACGTGGGTTTTCTTGTGTTTTACATTTCCAATCGTATCAAATCCCTCTGCCGGTTTCCCAAAGTCACTTGTCACTTTACTTCTCCTTGAAGATTAAGGCTCATGGCAAGTTATCAGCAAGACCTTTGCAAAAAGCAAACTTAAAATTCAAGAAAACTAATGTTAGTTATTCTAGTGCAATAGTCCTATAGAACCCATGTTACAAAGTATTACAAAGTCCATCCTGCCTAGCCCTCACGTAGTCCTCGCGACTGACGACCTGAGGGCTCTGCGTGGGGGCAGAGGGGGATCTGGGCTTGATGCCCAGGGATCTCAGAGCCTCTCCTGGTTTTCTCAGGAGCTGCAGGGGACAGAAAGGTCTCAGGGGCACCTGGCAGGCTGCTGGAAGGAAGCCAGGCGTGGACCTGGCCCAGCTCAGGCCTGAGCCTCCTTTAAAGGCTACGGTGAAGCAGAGTCCTTCTGCCTCCAGGGGGATCCAGCCGGTGGCTCTGTTTAGGGCAGTGGTTCCCAAACCTGGCAACTTTAAGACTTGTGGACTTCAACTCCCAGAATTCTCCAGCCAGCTGGAGTTGAAGTCCACAAGTCTTAAAGTTGCCAGGTTTGGGAACCGGTGGTTTAGGGGGACTGGATCCTCCCTGGGCAGGGAGGGGCCAAAGGGAAGCCTTGCAGGGCTGGGGTGAAGATTATATAAGGACCCATCAGATCCTCCGATCCGAGCCACTTGGGGTCACTCAGAGTTGCAATTCAGCTGCCCAAGGATGGTTTGCTGGGGGGCCTGAGGACCCTTTTGGCTCTGAAGATGCGTACAAGCCCCCATGGGAGCAGTCTGGGCTAGTGGTTAAGGCACCAGGCTAGAAACGGGGACAAGGAGTTCTAGTCTCGTCTTAGCTATAAAATCCAGCTGGGTGACTTTGGGCCAGTCACTCTGCCTTAGTTCACCAGGTCCAGATCAGGTGACAAACTGATTGGTCAACTGCTATTGCTACCAATGGATCAACCCATCCCCCAAAGTGGGGCCTGCTGGGGAGAAAAAGAGCAGGAGGAGGAGGAGGAGGAGGAGGAGGAAGCATGTAGGGTCCTCAGAACTATCAGCTCAGCCATCTCTGTCCCTCCAGGTGGAAGAAAGCTCTCGCGCGAGCTGGTGGGGGGGTGGGGGGGGTGGGGGGGCATCCTATTGGGTTAGGAATATTTATTGTTCATGATGCTGATGCTATAAGAGGAGCAGAGTCGCTTCAGAGCGAGATGGGCGGCAAATAAATGGAACAATAAATGGGGTAAAACTCCGTCCCTGCCGGAGGGGGGGCTTCCTTCTGCCCTTCTTTAAGAGACCCTCACCGCACCCCTCCAGGCCTGGTTGCAGCACCGAAGCAACAGCATTAACGGTGGTTGCCAGGCTCCTCTGCAGACCTCGGACAGGGGTTGGGGATCCCTCCGCAGCCTTTCACAGTCACTCGTGGCCCTTCTGGGCCACTGGGAGTTGGCGAGAGGGGCATCAAGTCGCAGCTCCTTTTGCCCGGGCCAATTCCAGCCATGGCCAGAACTCTCCCTGGGCTCTTTTAACGTCTCCCAAGGCGGCTGGTTGGGGAGGCAGCTGGTCAGCCTGGGCACCAAAGTGATTGGGCTCCTTTCCCAGCGCCTGGAGGCGGGGAGAGGCTCCTCTTCTGGGGTCCTGTGGGTCGCCCATCTTGAGACCTGTGTGGGGATCCTCCTGGAGGCCGTGTGCGGTTTGGTGGACCTCTTGTGCCTCCTGCTGGAAGAGCAGGTGGCAGTGGGAGCCAAGGGGGCTTTGGGCATATTCCTTGAATGGGTGGCATCGCTGGTGGTGCCTCCTGTCTCAGCCACCTCCCGCCTAGACCTCTGTGGCAGCGTCCACAGGAGCACGTGCAGAAGCGGCAAAAGGCAGCGGTCTCGGCAGTTTGGGGTCTTTCTCATTGCACCCATATAACCCCACTGCCCCATTATCTGCCCTGGCTCCCAGCAGTGTGCTGGATATCAACTATCAAGCTGTCCAGAATATGGTCAGATTTCTTCTGGGACCGCCTCTCTCCACCCACCCAGCCACCCAGCCACCCAGCCACCCACCCGTTTCTGCCTGCCCCACCAGTCTTAACAGATGGGGTCTGTTTCAGGTCCTTTCTATCAAGCGATGCCCTCTTGCTGGGTCTGGGAGTCAGGCCTTCTCAGGGGCAGCACCCGCCTCATGGAGACCTGGAGGGGGCTTTCAGAAGACGAGGCTCCCCCAGGCACTTCATCAGGTGGTTGGGGGAACTCAGCTGTTCCTCCAACCTTTCTGTTTACGGGGGGGGGGGGGCAGGGGCCTGTCTGCTGCTGGGGAGAGGGCCCATGTGCTAGTCACCCCCTGCCCCCCTGCCCCCTTGCACCCCGAGGCCCTGGCCCCTTGCTCTGCCCCCCCCAGCTGCACGTTGCCCTCTTCTTCCTCCAGCGGCTGATGAGGGGTGCCCGCCCGGCCCTTTCCCAGGCAGCCCCTGGTCTGGGCCTCCCAGGAAGCCACTGAAGAGGGCCTGGGAGGAAAGCCCGCCAAGGGCCCGGCTGGCTGTGCGTGGTCAGCCACCGAGCAAGAACCCCACGCAGGGCGGCTCAGGAAGGGCAGCCATGGGGGCAAGGGCCAAAAGGGTGTAGATTTGGGGGGGAGGAGAGACGGAGGGAAGTTGAAGCGATCCTGTGGTGGGGGTGGGCTGCCAAGTACCCAAATTTTGATCACGTGACCGGTCGCTAATGGAAACCACAATTGTGCTGGTGAACTTACTTCAGCTTTCGTTTGCTTCACAGACCTGTGAAGTAAATGCGAGGATCGATCACAAAAGTTGCAACTCCGAACGGTTCCTAAAGGTGGCGGGCCCTGAAGGGAGGCCCGCTGCCTTCTGCGGGAGCCCCCCTGAGAATCAATCAGTGGACGGGGCTCCGAGCGTGGCCAAGGGCCCCGGGGGAATCCTCTGGCGGGGACAAAACTAAGCAAACCCCTTGCTCTCTTTCTCCTCGGGTGCCATAATTTCTTTGCCAAAACGGAAGCCATAATTTAAAAGACCCCCTTTTTTAAAAGGGTGGGGGGGAGGAAAAGAGGAGGGGCCTCTGGGAAGTTTTGGCTGAAAAGAATTTGGTGATTTGGTCCTGGGGGTCTCTTTTCTTTTGGGGAGTGGGGCGCCTCCAGGTGTGTGGGGGACACAAGAAGGGGGAAAGGGTTGCCAGCTCTGGTTTCTGGGCCGCCTTTCCCCATCACCCGTTTCAGGTTTTCTCAGAGATGCTGGCTGCGTTCCTTGCATGCTAGAAGGTGCTTTTGGTGGGTCCAAGGGGCACTGCCACCCCCACCCCCCCAGGGGTTCTCCAGCCCATCTTCCTCAGCCTCAGCTCCCCGTTCTCCTGGCCTCCTCCTTCGGCTCACCTGTCTGTGGAAGAGCTTAGCTCCTCCTGTGGGAGGAGGAGCTCCCTGACTGATGGCAGGCCACCCCCCTTCCTCCCTGACTGCCTTCCTCCTAGGCTCAGAGCGAGGGACCGGCCCAAGGTCACCACCGGCCTGTGTGTCTAAGGCAGGAGAAGAGCATTCCATCCCCCAAGGTTTAGCCTGGCGCCTTGAACCCCTACCCCAGAGGAGGTCTCGCTAGAGATCTGGTGTGGACCCATAGCTTTATCCCCTTAAAACCAACGGAGGGCTTCAGGCACAGGGGAAGCCCATCCGAAAGCAAAGGCGGCTGTCACTACACACGGGGTCCCTGCCATGTTCTCAGGGGGGAATCTTACCTGGCCAGGCTGAAAAGGGTGCCACATATTATAACTTACAACCAACCATGGGGAGAGCCCCTCTGGCCCTCGGGATTGCCCCGGGCAGCCTTTGGAAAGCTGGCCCACCTGATGGGCAGGCTTGCGTATCAGAAAGCCTGATTCACAGGGTCCCTGGCAGCCAGGGGAGAGGAAGGATGGCCCTTTTGCCAGAGGTGAAGGGTCCAAAGACAGGAAAGGAAGGACAGCCTGGCCCAGGACTGGCAGGATAGTCCAAGGCTGGGATCTGTGCTGCTCCAGGATGAAGATGGGCAGATGTCCAGGGGCCTCTCGGTCACTCTCGGAGGCCCACAGGCAGCCTGATTGGGGAGGAAGCCTCGAAGCCTCCAGGGGGCAGCCCCAGTGGGCTGGCATGGCTGGGCAGAGAGGGCGAGGGATCTGTAGGTGAACTGAGCTTCACCTGCCCAATGGGGCAGGGAATGGGTTTTCTTTGCTTAGGGGGAGAGTCCCGAAGGAGCCCCACATCCTTCTCCGCTGGCCTTCTTTCCTCCAGCTCAGGGGCCGGGCCATCCCCCCCCCCCCAACAGCCTTTGGGTAGTTAGGCTGAACTCGGCAGAGGCACACTGGGTACAGTGGGGCTGGGGGAGCCCATTTCCCTCTCCCTCCACAGAGCCTTACCTCTGCCCATGGCAGTGGCTTGGGTGCGGCGATCACTCTTTTCAGCAGGCTCCGGGCTGCCAGGCTGGCCCATGGGTGGTGTGATGGGTCTTGGGGATGAAGCGATCAGTGGGGAGAATTGGATGGGTGACGGGACACAAATGGTGCCAGGAGAGCTAGCTACACCTACTGGGCTGAAGAGGCTGGAGGGACCGCTGGAGAATAGTGGGCTGCCTCCGTAAGTGGGGCTGGCCGAGACCATTGGGCCATAGATGCTGGAGACGTAGCTGGCCGGGAACATGGGCCCATAGAGGCTGGACGTGTCAGGGGAACTGGCTGGGGGCACAACTCTAAAAGGGCTGCAGGCCCCCAGGGAGCTGTAGGGACTGGAGACCGTGCTGGGAAAAGAGTCTGGAGCCAGCTGGAAGAAAGGGCTGCCACCGGGAGAGCTGGCGGGGGTGAGTGGACTGCAGGGGTCTAGCTGGGAGAAAGTGCCAGATGGGGAATAGGGAGAAAATTGGCCAGGACTGTAGGGGGCCTGGTAAGAGTCCCCCCCGAGACCATAGACATCCCCAGGGAAGCATACATGGCGGGAGAGGTTCATGGGGGACATGCTGGGCATGGCGGGCAGGGGAGACCTCCCAGAGTCAGATCCTGAGAAGAGGCTAGTGGAGAACTGGGAAAAGGGGTCACTGACAGGAGGTGGAAGCTGCAAGCCACCGTAGGAATCCCAGGAGGGGACCATGTTGGAGGGGGGATAAGGGCCAGAAGGAGTGGATGCGCAGGGGCTGATGGGGCTTGAAGCCTCAATGGGTAAGAAGGGCTGCTGCTGGGTGGGGAGGGGCATTGACATGTTCCCCGGGGTAGGGGTCCTGCCAAGGATGGAGCTAGGGCTGAAGACCGAGGGCAGCTGGGAGATCAGCTGGGTGGAGGGCAGATTGCTGCCGAAGACGGAGGTCAGGTGGGACAGGTTCTGGGTACTGGGTGCCTCGGGGGTCCCTTGAGAGCAGGGCATTGTCCCCCCTTCCAGGCCAGAAGTGGGCTTCATGTACATGGAGGGCAGCGGGGTGGTGTTCTGTAGCTCAGGGCTGCCTATAATAGTGGGGAAGGTGAATATCCTCTGTCTTGGCTTCACAAAGGGCCTCATGTAGGCGGAGGGCAGCGGGGAGGGGCTCTGCATGCCAGAGAGATCAGGGCTGCCTGAAACGCTGGGGAAGGTGAATATCCTGCCTCCCGGCCTGGCAGTTGGCCTTATGTACATGGAGGGCAGCGGGGACGGGCTCTGCATACTGGACGGATCGGAAGCGCATGGAGCGCAGGGGGAAGCGGGCCCCTGCTGGATGGGGCTTGAAGCCCCGATGGGGAGGAAGGGCTGCTGCGGGCTGGGGAGGGGCATTGACATGGACAGGGACCTAGGGCCAGAGAAGGCCGAGGTAGGCTGGGTGCTGCCAAAGACAGAGGTGAGCTGCGACAGGTTTTGTGGGGTGAGCGGGCCGGGACTGGACGTATCAGAACTGGGGAATATTCCCCTTCCTGGCTCAGTGAAGGAGAAATAACCCACATCCGACCCAGCAGCACCAGCAGGGGCACCGAAGAACGAGGACAGCTGGGAGGCGCCCGGGCTGCTGCCAAAGACTGCGAAATGCGACAGGCTTTGTGTGCTGGGTGTGTCTGAAAAGTAGGAGAAATAACCCCCTTCTGGGCTAACATAAGCAGGGGCAGCAAAAGCAGGGCTACCGAAGGCCGAGGACAGCTGGGAGAGATTCTGGGTGGAGGCCAGGTCGCTGCCAAAGACAGAGGTGAGCTGCGACAGGTTTTGTGTGCTGGGTGCATCTGGAATGAAAGAGTAGGAGAAAGGACCCCCTCCCTGCCCAGCAGTACCAGGGCTAGAGAAGACCGAGGGCAGCTGGGAGATCAGCTGGGTGGAGGGGAAGCTGCTGCCAAAGACGGAGGTGAGCTGTGACAGGTTTTGTGTGCTGGGCGCGTCGGGACCGGATGAGGAGCCAGAAATGGTGTATGTTCCCCTTCCTGGCTCACAAGTGCTCCTGGTGGGGCTGTAGAAGACAGAGGTCGCCTGGGAGAGATCTATGATGCTGGGGAGGTCAGAGGTATCATAGAAGAATTTGGGACAACCAGACCAGGGGATGGAGTATGTCTCCCTTCCACAAACGTTCCTGGGGGAGCTGGTGGGGCTGGGGCTGTAGAAGACAGAGGTCGCCTGGGAGAGATCCTGGAAACTGGGGTATTCATGGGGATACAATTTCGGCTGACCAGAACTGGTGCATGACCGCGGTGTAGAGCAGGGGCTGGAGATGGAGTATGTCCCTGCAGGGCTGGGGATGGAGTATGTTCCTCCAGAGCTGGGGATGGAGTATGTCCCTGTAGGGCTGGAGATGGAGAATGTCGCCCTTCGCTGCCGGGCAGCAGGAAGGTTGGGCAGGCTGCTGCCAGGGAAGATGGGGAGGTCACTGGGAATGCAGGGCCCGCCTGGCTGGATGGTGGTAGGCAGGTTGGGCAGGCTAGCTGGTGAGAAGAGGGGAGACCCTCCTCCAGGAGTAGGTGGAGTAGATGGAACGTGGGGGTGCCATGGGATGGGGCACTCAAAGCAGTAGCCCCGTGGGACGATTGAGCTGCCACTGCTCCGCTGAGAAACATTTTGACCGCCAACACCTGCAAGATGGGGAGAGAGAGAGAGAGAGAGGAGGTGGTAGTATGTAATAGGGGGCAGGAAACGGCCATTATCCTCCCCCTCATTTAATCTGGGGCAGCCAAGTTATCTTCTCAGTGGGAACACAATTTTTCCTTTAGATTATTCATTCAGCAACTGTTTGAAGTTACTGCAGTGCTGAAAAAAAGAAGTTATGAATGGTCCTTGAAGTTACAGCTACTTTAATGCCCCATGGTCACATGATTAAAATTGAGATTCACCCCCCCCCTCGCACTTACAACTGCAAGTGTGTGAGAGTGGTTAAGGCACTGTACCAAAACCCAAGAGACAGTGAGTTCTAGTGCCACCTTTGACATGAAAACTGACTGGGTGTCTTTGGCCCACTCACTCTCTTGCAGAACAGTCCAACTTCACAGGGTTGGTTTTTTTTGGGGGGGGAGGAGTTTATGTTTGTTGCCTGGGCATGGAATGAAGTAGCTTGGTTGTTATGAGCTGGATGGGGCAAGTTGGCCATACAAATTGTCACAGACCCCATGTGATGACCTGGGGCAAGGCAAGAGGGGACATAGTCAGCTGATAGTTCAAACCTTTCCTTTATTGCTCCAACCTTCCCGCAAATGCTCCCACATTTATGGCAAATCCAGAGCAAAACGATCAACACATACACAGACCCCTCCACAGCCTCTGGCTGGAAGTATAATCTGACACAGGACTATAAGGGAATAAGTCAATCAGTCCAGGAAGCAAAGGAACAAGGCAATGGTTTCAGGAAGCAAAGGAATGAAGCAATTAATCCAGGAAGCAAGAAATAAAGCAAAGAAGTCCAGGAAACTCCAAATGTAGGCAACAGCACACAACACTCCATGAATTCCGTATTTGTTCCTGACACAGGCTGATAAAGATCTAGAGGGGACAGTAATTACTCTGGAGATGGGGAAAGCTGAATATTTCCTGAGATTTTAAAATATTGAGGAAGAAAGGGGGAAGATCTTGCTAATATAATGGCAGAGTTGTTGGTGGATGCCTTGGAGATGGGTAAGCAGCAGTTTTGCAAGCTGGGATGGATGAAATATTCAGAATACATACAAGTTTTGCAAGAAAGAATAAACTTCCCAGAGAAGTATATGAGAGATTTCTTAAGAAGGAGATAAGAGCGGAAATACTCCAAAGAGCAAGAGAAGACCCATTGAAATAAAAAGAGAGAGAAATAATTGTTTTGAAACAGATACCCAGAGATATAAGGAAACAATATCAATTCTTGACAAGGCAACTGATTAAACATGAAATAAACCTCAGATGGCTGATACCTGAGGGAATATTAGTGACCTGGAATGAAAAAAGATACAGATTGGATTCAATAGCTATAGCAGCAGAATTTTATGATCATCATTTTGGTTTGTATGAAGAAAAAGAGAGAAGAGAGAAAGTAGAAGATAAAAGATAAGAGGAACCAACAGGAGGGGGAAATATACAATAAGAAAGTGAAATGGAGCAAAAGGAAAGAACAGAATGAGAGAGAGCAAGGATAAAAGAACAGAGAGAAATAAGAACAATTAGAACAAGAAGACTTATCTACAAGTGAAGTGATGGAATAAGAAGTAAAATTATTGAGGAGGATTGAGGAGGAGGTGGGGGTGGGCGGCACTGTTTTACAGTGGTTCTCCTCCTACCTCTCGGACAGGTCGCAGTCGGTGTTGGTGGGGAGGGAGAGATCGTCCCCGAGGCCCCTAACCTATGGGGTGCCGCAGGGCTCGGTCTTGTCCCCCCTGCTATTCAACATATATATGAAACCGCTGGGCGAGATCATTCGGAGGCACGGGATTAAGTACCATCAATACGCGGACGATACACAGTTGTATCTGTCCGCCACGTGCCAACTCAATGAAGCGGTGGACGTGATGAGCCGGGGCCTTGAGGCTG